AGATTCTGTCTGGCTGGCCAAGGGGACTCTATGGCTGGAAGCGAAGGGAGGATGCGGCCTTGCGCCCTCGTGGGCATCAGCCCCGTGATATATATACATACATACATACATATATATACATATATATATATAATATATATATAGATATATATATATATATATAAATATATATATATATATATATATATATATATATATATATATATATATGTATGTGTGTGTGTTGTGTGTGTATTTGTGTGTATATATGTACATATAAAGATATAGATATATGTAGATAGTGACATATATGTTGGTATATTCGTGTTTATGTATACACACACACGCACGCGCGCACACACACACACACACACACACACACACACACATATATAGATATAAATACATACACATACACATACACATGCATATATATATATACATATAATATATACACACATGTATATATATATATATATATATATATATATATATATATATATATATATATATATATGTATATATATATGCATGTGTGTGTATGTATGCATATATGTATGATATATACATATATAATGTATATATATATATACTTATATGTTATATACACACATACAATATAAATACTTATATGTATATATACATATATATAAAATTTATAACTATTCATTTGTTTCTTAAGTATAACATTCTTTGGTTACGGTGATAATTTTTCAGTTATTTGTTACAAAAAGTGTTTCCACTGAGGCATGCGCCCAAGTCAGAGAAGGGAGTCATTTGGTGTGACGCAGGTAGCACTCCAGCGCTACTTGCGTCACACTGGAGTGATACTGGTGATTGGCCATGAAACTGTTGAGGATGGTGCATGGTTAAGGAAAAAAGGATGATTACAACAATATCAACAGAGCAGAATTAGACGCTATAAAAGGCGTCAACTTAGCTCTGAAATGTAGACATCGAGGTTAGAACGGATTCGGCTACAGTGGTAGTTGGCTAAATTCAGTAGGGATAACGAGAAGCAGAGAGTCAGAGATGATAGTGAAACGCCGCTACGGGAATCTGAGGGAGTTGGTCGAAGAGTTCGGTGTGAAGTTATATGTGTATTTGTGCAGTCTGAGAGGAACAAAGCAGATGTGTATCGATAAGAGTGAAGAAGACTTGGCTAGGTTTCCCGGAAGAGAATGAAAAGGTGACCACAGTCTGCTGCGCAGGAACCTCGAACGTGGAAGACCTGTACAAAATACACCAAATGGGTGTTGATAGGACGCTGTATGTAGCAAGGAAGGTTGATTCTACAATCACCGAGGGCAAAGTTTGACGAGTGGTGTGGCATTGTAGTAGATGTCAGTCAGTTGATCCTGCGCCAGCCGTGCATGAGCAGGGAAGTTCAGCATGAAGAACTATTGAAGGAGACTAGCAAATGATGTGACACACTAAAGGCAGGAGTTGTACTTACCCATGGTCATCCGTGGACCTGATAGTGGCTGTCTTGAGACGGTTGAGAGGTGAAACTGCAGAGGTAATTTCAAGTTTTAAATTAGTTTTTAGAAAGTGGCCCAGTAGATGAGGTATTGATGGACAACAGAACTGCTTTTCGGTCTCGGGTGTTGAAGAATATGCTTGATAAATGTAATGTTAGTCATTTCTTTAGAGTGGCATACTGACCAAATGGAAATGGAATCGTGGAGAGACAACATTGTATGATCAAGGTTCTAGCCGAGAGGGTCCAGGTGAAGCCCATGGAAGCGGTGTTTTCGGTATATGTTGCCAAGGTCTGGCCAGGATGAGAGAACTGTTTAACAGAAAGCTGTGTTTAAGTATGAATGGAGACACCCAAGTATGCCAACTAAGACATTACGGGACGAGGTTAGTATTGCGTTTATCGAAATGGGTAAGAAGTGTGGGTGAAGCTGTTAAATGCACGGTGCACGTCGAGGTGGGGGAGAGGCACAGTAACAGATGTGCACTCTCAGAATAATGTATCAGTTGGAGGGACGCTACGGCATGTCCTGGAGAGGAAGCTGGCGAAGATATAGTCTCGCGACGGTCTCTGAGGGAGAGACGTAGACCGATGTGAATGAAGGATTGCGTAAGGAGAGTCGAACAAGAGGATGAAGATCTACTTGCTAATTCTTTGTAAATCAGCAGTTGGTTGTGATCTTAAGATCAAGGGGGCGTGTGGTATAATTAAAAGGAAAGTGGTAGCTTTTGAGGGGGACTTGTAACGAATTGTAATTGTTGGGCTACGAGTCAAAGAAAACGGTGAGTGCTTGTTAAGGATCTGGCATAGAAAACGGGAATACCGATGGAGTGTTGTTTTAGTGTTCGCGGTAACAGTACAGAATTGTGTTTTTTGGTTTGTTTATGAGGTGTTGTTAGCATTTGATATATTGTTTTGGTATTGGACAAGGCGAGTGGGGATCAAAGTACGAGGTAAGTAAATTTTATTTATCTCTATCATTGTATTAAACAACAGTATCGCGGCTATGCTTCGTTTGCGACGGGAATGAATGTTGAATTCATTCGAAACACGACGAAACCTATCAGAAAAGCGGTTTGGCGTGATTTCCAAATTTATTGTTAGCATTATTATCATGAAGGAAAAAATACATATATGAATGAGCTTTGTAACAGTGAGGTATGAACTGTTTATTGAGATGCATTTTACGGTTTCAATATTAGTGATAATAGAGAGAGAAACAAATGAAATGAGAGGTAAAGGAATATGAAAATATAAGTTTACACAGCGGTTCATAAACTTTTTTCGGAGGAATCATAAACTTACGCAGAGCATTCTGCGGTACCCGTTTCTTTAACCCATAAACTGCTTCATACATCATACGATGAACAGCATGTAACTGTGACTTACGCCATGATGTGAAGGATATTTTGAAACGGCGTCCCCTATATTTCGCCCCCATATATCTAAAACCAGTAAGAATTGTTTTGAGAACATTAGTATGCCGATAATTGTGCAACGGTTATGACCGCCGGACCCCAAATTGCGCAGTTTACGTTTGGTCACTATATACTACCCCTGTGTATTTACCTTTACAGGAGAGTGGTCTTCGCTACTTTCACGGATTACTCGAAATTAAATAATCAAGGTTTACATGCCAAAATACAAGCATAAAACCCACCATAGAATGAGAGTAACTTAATGCATCTGAAGAGTTTTTATTTCGGGATCTTAAGGCATTCTTAGCCATAGCTTAGTACCCATGACACCCGAAGATGCTGTCACAGCCTGTTGGGGAACCGCTGTCTTGTCGACACTGTCCTTTACTGAGCTTCCTAGTGGATCTACGTAATCATGCTTACAGATTCCGACATGCGGTGGTATCCACGTAGAATATGTAATATCCGAGTTATTTAAGGCGATGCGCAATTATTCTGACATTTACAATATTGGTAGCACTTTTGGTTAGTTATTGATATGTAAGAAGAGTTTCTGTGGCGTGGAAATGACTGACTCCGAGTTTTAATTCAGTAGTTATTTTGCGCCTACAATATTCCAGCCATAGTTTGTGAAGTATGTACGAGGCCAGCCACCAACTCCCCCGTAATATACTGCTATAACGCAACATACATCCGTTATCCCATCACCAGGTAAGGGTAGTTGGAAGTTAGGAACCCCGCATTCGCAAACAAGATTTAAAAAGTCGGACGAGCCCCTTTCCTAGTGACTTCGGGGACTGGCTGGTTCGCCTGATGAATCCCGAGCGCCACAGTTGGTACGCTAATGCTGACTTAATTACGATTTGCAGTCACATTCATAGTGTTTCATGAAAACACATTAGATCCGACTATCAGAATGTCAAATGTTTACAACTGTCATATTCCTTTAATCGTCGGCAAAGTTCAGGGTTATCAACATGAGCAAATCATATTCCATCTTTAAAAATCACCCAGAATTGTAGATTCCTTATTTTCAGGTCAGTGCCTGGGTATTCTTACTGACATAACCTTAATCTAAATGATGCGGGTTTTATTCTTTAAAAAGGCTGGGTAGATCTCGAAATTTCACCGCCGGCGGTTGATAAATGTAAAACTCTCCTAAGCACATACTGTAATATAGATTAATAGATTGAAAGATTAGATATGCACACACACACACACACACACACACACACACACACACACACACACACACACACACACACACACACACACACACACACACACACACACACACACACACACACACACACACACACACATACAAATAGGCCTACATATGCACGTATATATGAAGCATGCAATTACCAGAACTTACGTTTATTAAATGTTTTTAATTTAACTTTCAACTATAATATAAGTATCGATATGGTGAATTCTTGTTCTGCTCCTATATATACTATGATCAATGTGTTGCATATCTATAGATTGTATAAATTTTCTATATGTGAAACTTGTAAGGTCTTATACAGATAGATAGATATATAGATAGATAGATTGGTGAGGAGAGGGAGAGGCAGACAGATATAGGTATAGACGTAGACTTCGATTTTTTAAATTTCCACTTGTAATACTGAGGTTAATCGCATCTCTACAGGCTTATGCATTAATAATTCGGATAAAGTAAATGAGATTGTGTTTGAAACTTCGGATCAATAATCCTAATTCTGGTGACATATTGTTGATGATAGGAAGCTGAACGTATATGATCACATATTAGGATATAGGATGAGCCAAATTGCCTCCGAAACTAGTTAAGGCCGGTTACGTTTTGACTGATTTTGGTCTGTGTGGTATGGAGAAGAATCCTTTCATTGAGTAGCGGAATGATAAAAGAGCCATATGTATGTGTCATACTGTTCATCAACAGCTTATAGTTATTGATATATTACTTTACTGGATGCATTTATATCAAATGGGTTGAGATGGATTTAAACTTCTTTCAAAGATATTGATAGTTTTCAGTTATCTTCCATCGATTGTGAGGCTTGTCTTGAGTAAGGAGAGCACGTTAATGTAAGATATTTGTTTATCAAAAAATGTAATGGTATAAATAGACTCGATAAATAGAATCAATTTTTCAGTAACCTCGACGCAGGGCCTTCTTGGCTCTGCCGCCACAAGGTTAAGCGTCTTGATGGATCGGTGCAGCGATATAGTGCCTTGACATTTGCTTCGCATTATTTACCAATAGTTGGCGTTGTCATAGTTGAACTCTTGTAGGAGGATGGTGTTTACATTATTCTTGATCCAGTTGACGAAACCAGGCACGTTGGCATAGACGCCAGGAACATTGTCCTCTCCACAGCCGATGCCCCAAGCCACGATACCTGCTTGGACGTAGCTATTACCCAGGCCCTGCACACGAGGGGAGATCCTCCATCTCCTGTGCAAGTATCGACGCCGGCGACGCCGCCTGCGCATGTGAAGGATGGGTGCAGCTTGAAAAGTTTTCCAAGCCTGGTTGTGCGAAGGGATTCCTGGCAGTCGTACTGGCTAACGGCGGGGAGCTCAACCTCCTTCAAGACGTTCTGGAACACTCCTTCCTTCCCGAACCTATCCTTGCCCCAGCCAGTAGCCCAGCAGTAGGACCCATCGAATATCTCTCCTTGTTCAGGGAGGCAGACGGTGTCCACGTTAGGTGCGAGTTCCACGGGGGAGTCGAGGAAGAGGAGAGCGAAATCGTTGAAGAGATTGGTGGGATTGAACTCGCGGTGGGTGACGACGTAGCCGACGTTGCGGTCCTGGTGTGGGTAGAGCTCATAAGCTTTCTGGGTGTCCCATTCCCCAAGGCGGACGTTGAGGGTGGTTGGGTTGATGTTGTAGACGCAGTGGGCGGCCGTGAGAACAACCTGAGGGTGGATGAGAGAGCCGCCGCAGACGTAGTGCTTTTCTTCCACATTATCCTCCGAGTATTCTGTCCTTAGCACCGCAGCCATCCATGGGAATTCGCCGAACTGCGCCTGGTTGGCCTGGAAGAGCATCGGTGCACCCAGTTAGAAAGAAGAACGGAACGGGAATGGGGCAAACATTCTTAGGGAGACAAATTTACATATATCCAAAAATGTGTTGTGTTGTGTTGTGTGTGTGTGTGTGTGTGTGTGTGTGTGTGTGTGTGTGTGTGTGTGTGTGTGTGTGTGTGTGTGTGTGTGTGTCAGTGGGTGAGCGGATTAAGGGCATGTAGGTAAATTTGTGTTCGGATATATAAGGGTTATTTGATATTTCTCTCCATTCAGAGAGAAATATAGACAACTTCAAGTGTTGAAGCTACACAAAAAATACACAGGTGCCTTAAGAAATCGATTTTCATTCTCCACAAAGAATTCCTATGCATTAATAAAAAAAAAAAATCCTTGATGTGAGACGCATTACATCTAAAATCCCAACTTTGCTTTCAGATGTCGAAAGTGAAAGGGAAGAATGCACCATGCATTACACTTCAAACGGACGGGTCTATATTTAAGGCTTTTGTTAAGCATTTATGTATGATATATCTCTTTCTGAACTCGAATCATGGTACATCATCTTTATATACTCAGGAACTGTAGATGACATCTAAACTAACATACCAGTTGTCAGTAAGCTTGCTTTTGACAAACTGGTACAGTAGCCTAAGATATAATGTATTGCGAAATTACTGAGAACTAGGTTTGGAAGGGAACCCAGATTTATTTATTTATCATTTTTTTTAAATAGATTGCCTACCAGATAATTATAACGTTTTGTAAGCTTCTAATAACACGAACAAACATAGATCTAAAGAGAAAAGCACATATACTCACGGGGAAATCAACAATGCGGGCGTTGACCCCCTCTTCATTCCGTCTGCCGCACTGGGCCACGTACTTCGGGGAGGGGGGGTTTGCGGGTGGGGTCGGTGCAGCAGACGTCGAGGAAGCTTGGGCACTCCGAAATGAACTCCGTGGCTGAAGACCTCGCGGGCTCTGGGGTTGCAGACCTCGTGGCCTCTGTGTTGTTCCGCCGAGTCGAGGCTTGATTCTGAAAAGGGAGTCAAGAGAGTGAGGGAGACGTCATGATAAACTACCGCAACAGGTCAAGACTTGTATCTATTTTTATATTGCGTTATTGGCGTCGAGTTAAAATATATAAATATTCTCTACACCATACTAGTAAAATAGAATAAGAAATTTACCTAATATCGATGAGACCGCTTCCATCTGTAATAACTATTCCGTCCCTGCACAGGTAATAAGGGACACATACATCCCTCTTGTTGTTACAGTATACCTGTGGCTCTGTCTGACGTCGAACCCTGGGCACTGCAGAGGCCACAGCTGCAAGAGCTAACACAGCCGCGAGTACACGCATCCTGGAAACGTCGGACGAAAAATTTCATTAAGTAAAACGACAGCCTTCATGATACAGGCAATTGATACCGTGTGTATGGACATAAGAATATTTCAGATAAATCAATAAATTGCTGACAGGATAATGTGAGTTAAAATCCTCAGCAGTTGTCATAAGATCATCTGTATCACATGCTCCAACATCTGCAAGTCAGTAAATTCAAGTGTCCTTATATGTCTACCCTTCAAGATATCGAGGATTAAGTTCCCGTGTAATTTAGCGAAGCAAAAAACTGTCGCATGAATAGAGCTTTATATACACACATACTCTTTACATGATTGTAGGCACAGGGGAGAAGAATGAAGAGAGAAAGCAAGTACAGATGTAATCACAATTATGAGGAAAAGAACTGGAAACACAGCCTTGGAGAAAACGTTGAAAATAAACCTTTAATGCGGATGCACGACTATTTTAAGTGCTTACTCCCAATACTTTTTTTGTTTTTTGAAAGTGCAGTTAAGGGCAAAGACCGCGAGAATATGTTAAACTCAAAAAGACATGAGTGTCTTATCTTCACACCGTTGCCATTTACAGCCTTTGCGTCTTTTAAATTGCCTTATTTCCTCTAGTTCGAAATAGAATAACTTTAAAAATAAAGTATATTTTAAGTCAACGGAGAAAACTAAAAGAAAGTCAAGATAACGGTACCGGCAGCCCAGAGAAAGCAGACTGAAGTTACCTTGTACAGTAAGTAAGTGAGCTGATCCTCCTGTATGTGTGTTCAGGTGAAAGCCAGGGCGCTGAGTGACAAGAAGATTCGCCGGGGCCGCTTTATATGCGGCCAGAAACGGTGGCTGAGTTGCCAAGGTCTCCGGGAAATTATTGACCCTGAGTATGTCACACCTTGCTTTGCTTCGAATTTTCCAGACTTCGGCGATTATTTTCCTTCTGATGCTTAGAGGGAAAGAGAGAAAAAAGTGAGTCATTGGATCCTTGAGCAGAGCTTGGCCACAAAAAAGCACTGGTGTTCACCCACCCTTATCCCTCTATCCGTATTCACCGCCCTTCCTTACTCATCATCCACATCACCGAACATTTGCATAGTGCTTATTTTTCCTGTTTTTCCTTCGTTTACTTCGAGCAAGGTGGCCTGCGAAGGAAAGACAAAGTCCAGGAACTTTGGTCTCCCCTTTTTTCTCGGAATCCAGCATCGCCTCGGGATATACTTTAGTTTTCTCTCATAATTTCGCTATTACGATATCGGACTACTATTGTATGTCTAAGTACTGGGATTCCCGTTGCGTGATGGGCATGGGACTCTTGTAATGTAGTCTGAGGCTTTGTTGTTGTATGGGGATGGGACTTTCGCATATTCTGGTGCTATTTTCATTTTTTTCAGTGTTATGTATATTATGAAACCGATAAGTCTATTTTTCCTTGTCATTTGATATTCTTGTTCATTATAAATGACATTTATGAATCTTTTAGATTATGGGAAATGATTCGAAATAAAATTTGGGAATAGCCATCGACTCAGTCAGGTTCAGCCTATTCTTAAAACCTGCCCTGGCCGTGACAACAGGCGTCGTCTTCATAAGGAAACGAAAGAGAGAGAATTCAATATAATGTACTTATACATATACATACATACATACATATATATATATATATATATATATATATATATATATATACATATATATATATATATATATGTGTGTGTGTGTGTGTGTGTGTGTATCTATCTATATATATACATACACATATGTATACATATATATGTACTTATATATATACATATGTATATATGTCCATGTGTATATTTTTATATATATACATATGTATATAAATACATGTATACACATATGTAACTATATACATACATATACGTATACGTATACATTTACATACAAATCTGTGTGTATATAGACATATATATATATATATATATATATATATATATATATATTATATATATATATGTGTGTGTGTGTGTGTGTGTGTGTGTGTGTGTGTGTGTGTGTGTGTGTGTGTGTGTGTGTGTGTGTGTGTGTGTATGTATGTATGTATGTATGTATGTATGTGTGTGTGTATGTATGTATATATACACATACGTGTGTGTGTGTTTGTGTGCGCCTGTATACATGTATAGACATACCTATAAATCATTAAAGAAATGCAAAATTAGAAGGAAGCAGATTAACAGACATAGACGTGCATAGAAAGGTGAAGCAGGCATATAAGCGAATATTCAGAGATAGAAAATGCAGACAGACAGACTGACAGACAAAAAGCGAAAATATAACGTGATTTTCTTTACGTCATTTCTCAATGAGTGTGTGTAACGGTGTGACGCACGTGGTGGAGCTTTCATAATGATTCCAAAACTGATCTAGGAAAACCCGTTGCGAAAGCGTTTGAACTTTGGCGAAGCAGAATGCGAAGTGATGCAGAGACGAAGGGAGGAAGAGGAAGGGAGAAGAGAATAGGAGGAGGGAGTGTGAAGGGAATAGGAAGAGGGAGTGAGGAGGGAATAGGAAGAGGGAGTGAGGAGGGAATAGGAAGAGGGAGTGAGGAGGGAATAGGAAGAGGGAGTGATGAATGAGGTGAATGATGGAAGAAAATAAGAATAGAGAGTGAGAGCAGAAGAATAAGAATAGGGAGTGACAAGAGGATAATTGAAGTAGGGAATGGCATGAGGGGAATAAAAATAGGGAATGTGATGAGACCAGGAATAGGGAGTAAGTCAAAATGA